AAGGCTGTATATCCGGTTTTCATAAATTGTTCTTGGAGGCCCAATTATCATCCCTGTCCATCTTGTAAGTGTCATGTCTTCGTCATCTTCTAGACCCCAGCTAACTGTGCCATCTCCTACTCCTTTCTGGCCTTCTTCGAGTTCTTCCAACAGTCGAAAATTGCGAGGGACTTTTACTCCCGAGCCCGTGGTGGCTGCCATCTTGCGTCGCTCTCTTTCCTTTTTTTTTAAGTAGTTAAACCAAACTATTGTTCGATCTTAAAAAGACTTCGGGCATATTTTTGTTAAGATTTAAAGATGATTCAGGGCAATAGAAACAGAGTTTCATTCACCTTTTATGATTCCAGAAAGTCTATGATTCAGGAGAATTTGAAATTTTATTCTATATTTTTCCATTCTATCAGGATTCTTCTATGGAATTTTTTATCAAAATGGTTATGAATGGTAGCCGGGCACAACATCCAGTTCTACTGGTCTCATGACAAATGAAATAGTTGTTCATGGTGACAATTAACCATACATTCCATATCCTCCTCATATGTTTGACACTGATTCTTCCTCTATCATTCCAGCTGAACAGAGATTAATTGCTATGCCTTGGATTGCCACTTGCAAGTTTTAAAGCATTACACAACAAAGTAGAATTTAGAACAGAAGCACTAAACATGCTATTAGAACAATTTATTGGAATTTTTCATGAAACAATTCCCCTAAACCTCCAAACAAAGGAACCAAATTCTGTTTGGTTTTGGGTTGCATATAAGCAGCCTCAGCAGCGTCTCTCTTTTTTTAATTGCCATTGTTATAAATAAATCTGTCACACAGCTTTTATCAATCCAACTCTTTACAGGTGTACAACTTCTGACAACAATTTCACCAATAAGGTGTGCAACTCTACCTTTAATCTAGTGAGTTTTCCATTACAGTTAATGCTAATTTCCTTCCTCCTACCCTTGGTAACCACTAATAAATGTGGGTCTCTATACATTTGCCCTTTCTTGTCCCCTTATATATGTGAAATGCAACAGTATCTGTCTTTCTGTGATTGACTTATTTCACTCCATACAATGCCATCAAGCTCTATCCATGCTGTAGCGTGTTATCTAGCCTTCATTTCTCTTTCTGGCTGAGTAGTGTTCCATTGTTTGTATGTACTATATTTTGTTTATCTATTCATCTATTGATGTGCATTTACATTGTTTCCACCTTGTGAATATTGAGAATAGGGCTGCAATGAACATTGATGTACAAGTCTCCTTTGGAGTTTCTGCATTCAAGTATTTGGTGATATATACCTATATGTGTCATTGTTAGGTCATGCTAGTTCTAATTTAATTTTTAGAGGAACTTCCAAGCTGTTTTCTACAGTGGTTATGCCATTTTGCATTTCTAGCAGTTATGGATAAGGGGTGTATTATCCCCATATCCTTGCTAACATTTGTTATATTCCATTTTTATTTTGTTTGTTTTTATCTTAACCATCCTAGTGTGAGTGTAATGATCTCCTATTGTGGTTTTGATTTGCATTTATCTGTTGGCTTATGACTCTGAGCTTCTTTTCACATGTTTGGTGGAAATAAATGTTTATTTTGAGTAGTCAAGCCACTTATGCTGAACTGCAGAAGTCAGATAGGGCTCCTTGTTGAATTACCTAACATAATTTTATTTTAATATATAATATAGTTTTCTTAAAGTTTTATAACCATACTTTGGACCTTGCTGCAGAACCAAACTAAGTACAATGGATGAATAGAGATGAAATGGGAAATACTGGAGCAGGGAAATAAATATGATAATGGGAGAAAGGTGGAAGGTGAAAGGCTTGAAGCAAAACTTGTTGTTGTTAAGTGCTGTCAAGTAGATTTTGACCCATAGCAACCATGTAGTATAGGATTTCCAAGGAACAGCTGGTGAGTTTCAACTGCCAACCTTGCAGTTCAAACAGCTTTGTAGTCTGGTGCACTAACCCACAATGCAAAACCTTAAGCAATGTCATATATATGTTCAAAAAGTTTGTGGAAATTTTTCATTTTATATATATATATATATATATATTTAAGCTTTTATTGTGAATTGAGCCATAGTTTACATGGCAGAACATAGGTTTGCATTCAAGCTATCATATTTTCTTTCATTGCAATGATTACAATGCCCTCAATACATCATCAGTTAACAGTATTTGCTTCTATGCCCTTTTGTTTTTATTTTATACACAAAAGCACACCAGAATATATAATTGTTTAAACTAATAAAGGGTACATTCTGCAAGGCAGCCTCCTGGCCATACTCACACAGCCTTTCTCTTTTCATGAGTCTAGAGCCCTCAGCTATTCCATGCCATCCATCATCTCTGCCTTCATCTCTGACGTCACTGCTTCTCTGGTTAAGGTTATCTTTTAATTCCAATTTTCCATGAGATTTTTTGACGCTCATCATAAATACATATTTTTTGTAGTCCAACAGATGTGTATATTTATTGTTGTTGTTGTTAAGTACTGTGGAGACCGTTCCAACTCATAGTGACCCTGCACAGGGTTTCTGAAGCTGTAAATCTTTATGGAAGCAGAAAATGTCATCTTTCTCCCATGGAATGGCTAGTAGTTTCGAATTGCTGACCTTGAGGTTATCAGCCTGAATCATAACCACTATGCTACCAGAGCTCCATATATATA